GAATTTTGCATTTTTATCCTACAAACAATGGAGAACTGACTTCCACATGTGACATATGCTACTTCCCTTCAATGTGTGCAGCACAGTGTTGAGAATCTGTCATGTGCCAGACAATGTATGGGGTGGGACACAGCTAAATAACACACAATCCCTGATGGCAAGGATCTCACATTCTGGTAAAGAAGATAGATAAATAAAAATCCCAGGTAGCTACAATCAAAGGAGAGTTAAAGAAATTATTCCCTAATTGTTTTAGTGGCATGTTCCTTCTATGAAGGGTGTGGTCATTGTACTTTTACAGTGTGAATTACTGTGCAACGAGGCTGTCTTCACACTGTAAATGTGAATAGGGAAGGTGGGTTCTAGGTGAGTGAGAGGGTTCCACCCACCTTTCCTAACCTGGGGGGTTAAAGGTTACCTCTAGGTTTTTAAACCACCAGCAGACTAGCTGCTAATGCCTAAGAGTTATCTCTTAGTCCACTTATTTTAGATTTATGGTATCTCCTCTGCTTGTGTTATTTCTGCTTTCTTTACTCTTTAGTTAATTCTTGTTTGAATATTCTAACCATGGCTTGGCTCTCCTATAGGTATTTAAGAAAGCATAATTTGTTCATAGTTGCCAAACTTTCCCCAGAGTCATTAAGAATGCTTTTAATAGTAATCTCTAAGGGTGGTAATCAGCAAAACTGCTCCCAGGAGAAGAGGCATCTCCAGGTCGGTTCCAGGCTGTGTGGTCTACTTAACCTCTTCAGCAGGTTATTCTTCTTCCAGTGCAACTCTGTGGTGAACAGTGCCAGCTGTGCCCCAAAATTATTTCTCTACTCCACACTCATACAGTTTCATCTAGGAAGTGTCTGCCCGGCAATCTCTGCAGCTACCCGTGGCATGTGACTCATTTTTAATAACTGCACGTGAGCCGCAGCGCTGTGTGTCACTTCAAGACCAGGGTCCTTAGGCAGGGATCATGCCTCCTCCATGCCCTTCTGCTTGCTTGATGGAATTGATAAGCAGTCCCTTGGGGATAATAAAGTCCTAAGATGGAAGGAAAGTAGATCCATGCATCACTCATAGAGAATAGCCATCCTTTGATCTGAAATTCCCACCCTGGATTGTTAGATGAACAAAAAAATGGACATCTATAGTTTTTGCACTGTTATATTTTTTAGTGTATTTGTAACAATGAATAAACTGCCTTTTTATAGATTCTGTGATAATGCAATTATATTCATCATGATCATTATGGAAAGCAGCAGTGCATTAAAAATAGCACAACGCAAAATTTCTGCAAAGTAGGGGACATTTTTCAGATGATAGTCCAGTTGGAATTTTTTATTCTCACATGAAGCTATCAATGAAGCCCCTGTACTCCTACTTTAGATCACAAAACACATAAATGAGAGTAATGGCACAAACCACTTCCAGGCATTAGAAGCTGTAGCAGGCATTTTGCTAAGAGAACGAACCTTAAGTTTTAATACTTTATAGAACTGTGGATTCTGAAGGAGAGTTAGAGGAGGACTAAGTGTTCTCAGTAATTGTTATAAAAACCCTGACACTCACCATGGAGAAGACAACATAGGCCATGAAGTACTGTGAGTCGTAGCAAATAGGCAAATGGCAAAATTAGTACTAAAAAAAGGGGTGGATCCCAGCCAGTGTGGCTCAGTGCATTGAGCATCATCCCATGGACTGAGAGATCCCGGTTTGATTCCAGGTCAGGACACACACCCAGATTAAGGGCTGGATCCCCAGAAAGGCATATGCAGGAGGAGGCTGATGGGTATTTCTTTCTCATCAATGTTTCTCTCTCTCTCTTTCTTCCTCTCTCTCTCAAAAAAATCAATAAAAACATATTTAAAAAATAAAAAAAAACAATAAAATAAAAAAGGGGGATATGAGGTAGGCCAGAAAAGCAATGTTTCCCTTTGTCACATTGGCTAAGGATCAATTCCCAAGAGACAAGGTAATGAATGTTATAGCAACGCTACAAGGCATATTGGTTATAACATGTTCTCTATGTTTAATTAATGTCATATTAATGAGTGGACCTATGATCAAAATTAAAGGTAAGGTTCTAGTATGTAGAGTTCATTGATTAATTAATTATTGATAGTGAGAGTAGGGTAGAGGTTATAAGCATAAGGCTTTGGTGATAGTAAGATTGAATATAAACTTTAGCCCTGTTACATACTAACTTAATGACCCATCTAGGTTATCTTTTATTTTTTTTAATGTTCATGCGAGGATATTTTCTCAAATATCTTCAGATAGAGTAGGAGGGGGGAGAGAGAGAGAGAGAGAGAGAGAGAGAGAGAGAGAGAGAGAGAGAAACTTCGATGTGAGAGGGATACATCGACTCATTGTCTCCTACACTACCTGACCTAACAGCAACTGAGGTATGTGCCCTTGGCCGAAATCAAACCTGTGACTCTTTGGTCTGCAGGCAGACACTCTACTGCTGAGCCAAACCAGCCCAGGCTAGGTTATCTAACTTTTATGGGTCTCAATTTTTCATAGAAATATTTAATTTCTATGGGCCTATTATTTCCAATGAAAATAATAACAACTACCTCATAAGGTTATTGCAAACAAAAAATATCAGATAACTCAATACAGTGTCTAACACAGATGAATTATGAATATTAGCTCTAATTATTAATTATTAAGATGAAATGTTCTGCAGTATTTCCTTTATAAGCTAGAAAATACAATTCTTTGGAATTAAGACCTTATTTTCTCTCATTTGTTAAAAGTTTCATTTTGGACGTAAGCTTGAAACATTCTGAAAAAGGCAAGCACATTTGGCATGAGAAAGCATGATGTCTTTATTTGATTTAAAGAATGTCTTATTTACAAACTTCAAAACTTCTATCATTGAACTGATATTTTAAATATTTTTAAAAGATATTTAAGACTCTATTATCTTCCTGGTATGTTTTCACTCATTAAAAATTGCCTACATTTTGCTGATCAATTGTCTGTGATGACCAGCTCAAAAAGAATAAAATAAAAAATCAAATGGAATATGTATTTCCTTGCTTTTACAAGTTATTAACAAAAGTATAAAAATATATTAATGAACTTAAGTAATTATTAAGCACTGTTTATTTTGTCTATAAATGCCAAGTAAACATTTGATTGATTTTATAATCAAACATTCTATGTTTAAAAATGACAACACATGCATGTCAATCAATGAGCCACAAAACAAACTGTCCCCTATTACCATAGCTACCCACTCTTGAAAGAGCACCTTCACTGATGCACACTACAGATCTGAACATTTTATCAATAATCAATCCTCTATAGTTAGCAAAATCTTGACATGGTCAAGGTCAATCTTTTTGATAATTCAAATACAAAACGGTATAAAATATCTTTTCAGCATTTTATTATTATAAAAGAAATAACTTATTATGAAACTTTTCTTCTTTCTCTGAAACTATACTATTTCATTATTCTAGAATACAGTTTTAATTTTAGTACAAAACTTTTTTATAATGCCAATTAAACAATCTGAATTTTTCTCCTTCCTATTTCTGTAGCTAATCATTAGCCACTACAATTTTTCTCAAAAACTATCAAAACTTCATATTTTTATAACTTATTTCATAAGGATTCCCACTAGGGCATACATTTCAATAGCAGGATAGCATGTACCCAGGAATATCTCATTTTCTTTAAGTCAGCAGTGAATAAGTTAATTCATAGCTGCGTTTATGAGTTTTATTTATATTTGACCTGTGGTAAAAAGATTTATCTTTCAATTACTAAACTATTTTTCTCAAGTGTCAAGAAGTCATACTAGTATAAAATAGATTAATGTAGCTATAAAAGTAGTTTTTGTTTAAGTAAAGTTTGGAATTAAAAATAGGGCAGTAAGTTAAAAATCAGAATTAATCCTTGGAGTGACCAGATAGACTAGTAAAAGAAGAGAGTTGGAAGTGTGTGTATGTGGGAGTGGGGGGGGGACGGGGGGGGGGAGAGAGAGAGAGAGAGAGAGAGAGAGAGAGAGAGAGAGAGAGAAGGGGGCCGGTGTGGAAAGGGAGAGAAGAGAAAGACTGAGATTGATTTTTGAGATCAGTCCTGCAACACATCACCATTTAGATTTTTTTTTTTTTCGTATTCTGGCACAATAATATTCAAAAGATCTAGACAACCCAAACCGGTCCGTTATTCCTTACTTTGAAGACCTAAATGATACTATTTTTAAAAAGTCTCCCTGGGTAGACCAGGAAAATTATTTAAAAGCCATGGGGTAGGGTGGTAAGAGCATTCTTCAAACAGACACGACCTTTTCTCTGTTTCTTGTACCGCTCTCCTCAACCCAGCCAGAAAACCCAGACAAGTTTATTTACACACACACCCGCACACGCATGCACACACACTCCACACGCAGCAGAGAGTGGCGGAAACGCCCTCTTTCCATCCCTTCCAAACAATTATCTCTGACAGCAAAAGAAAATAATCAACAGCCCTGTGTGCTGGCGGCTGAGCCGGGGAGCCAGCGCGGGGAGGGAGGGCGAGCCGGGAAACGTGGCTCCGCAGCCGCGCAGAGGATTTGTGAAGGGAGCGCGGGCCCGCGTGCGCCTCTTGTTCCCCGTGTAATTTGCAGCCAATCATCAGTAGGTGTCCGCGTCCCTGCGTCCTCCTCACCTCCGTGCAGATCGCCCCCGCCCCTGCCCCCGCCTCCTCCCTCGCGCTCCCCTCCCCCAGCAACCACACACGCACACGCACACACACATACAAACAGAGAGAGAAGGGGGGGCAGGGTGAGAGAGAGAGGAGAGAGAGAGAGAGAGGAGAGACTCCCCGGCTCCCTCCCTCCCTCGCACACAGCGACTGGAGACGGACGGAGAGCAACGCGCTGGGAGAGGAGAGACCACCGAGAACAGCCCCGCGCTCTCACACATACACTCACACTCGGCTCTTTCCTCTCCCCCCACCTCCTCCTCCTTCCACCCCCACCACTAACACCATCTCCTCCTCCTTCTCTCTGCAACAAGAAAAAAAAGCCATTTACAGGTATTTTTTTGATCCGCATATTTATTTATCCCCCCTCCCCAACAGTTTGTTTACAAGTATTAAAGTTGTAATTGGGAGCTGCCAAGACACATCTGGATTTGTGTTTCTTTGTGTTAGGGGTGATGTGCAACTAATTAAAGGCAGACTGGCAGCGTCTGCAAATTCTAAGGCTCCCCAAATAAAAAGACTGGTAAGTGATTGTTCTTTCTCTTTCTCTGGCTTTTTTCTCTTAAATGTTTGCTGTCCGTTGGGATTGTAAAAGTAGATTATTAATGCTGGACTCCAGCAATAAAAGGCGTCGCTGTATTAATTTATTAATTAATCTGCACCCGCCCCTCCTCCTGAATGTTAAATATGACCTTTGATCTCTATGTCTCTGGTAGACCAGACATACAATATTAGACATGTACAGTCACATTGTTTAAAGGCAAAACAGGATCATGAAGTGTGGATGTCTAATTTAGCTTTGGAATAGGACTATAGTTATTTGTGTGTTTTATTTTGCTTTTTAAAGAAAATCCAAACAATAGCTGTGGCTTAGGTACCTTTTTCATGCTCCAGAGATGCATTGATTAAACAATAATGACCTGGATCCTGGGCACAGTCATTTTCTACAGTTCCTGGTGGCATTAAACCTTGAGGGAGGGAGGGGGAGGTGATGGCAATAAGAAAAGCAAGGGAAGCTTCTGTTTGGAAACACCACTCTAATACTCTGAAAAAGGGATGTTAAATTATTTCTTTATTGGGAACAAGGTCAAAAGACTAAAATTTTGAAAATTTTCCCTCCACTCAATGTGATGATATCTAATGCATGGTTGGCATAACTAGTTTTTACTGAGTAGCAGTTATTATGGTCTTGGAGTTATAATGTGATTCACAGAAACTGAAGCTATATGCATATTCTTGCTGTGTCTTCCCCCACCTCCTTGGAAGCATCAAGAATGTTTAGCCAGGAGCATTTTGGGGGCACCCTTTGTATTGCTATCAGAGCTCTGAAGGGAGCAGTTTTTCCTAATGCGAAACCACAGAGGTGGTTCCTGAGTGATTAGGGACTTGCTGTGATTGAAAGATGCCTGCTAGCTTCTAATCCAGCCTGGGGTGAGGTTCCTTATCTTGATTTACTTTGCCTAATAGGGATTTGTTTACATAAACCCCTCTTTTTAGGGCACCTCATCAGTAGGTCCTGAAGTTTTTGCACTTGGAGTTTGGGCATAAATGGTTCATTAATTTAATTATAAGCATAATTACTATAATTGATATCCATTTTGAACTGAGTATTTGAGACTGAGACTACTGGGCCCCATTTAGAATTCCCTGAACTCCACAGTCTAGACCAATATGTGGGCTTCAAAAGATGTCACAAAAAGATATTCTGGCCTAAAAAAAAAAAATCTGGAAACAAAGAAACTGTTTTTTTGGGTTAATATACACTTTATGTCTTTGCTTTTCTTCTTAAAAGGCTGTGGTGTACCTCTCCCTCTGTAATAAACAACTAAAATACCTCTTCCTAAAGCACAATAATGGTCTGTAAGCAAAGAGATGAATGCAAATATCCACTTAACATTAAACTTTTTTCTTATAAGGAGCAACAGAAAAACATAATTTTAATGCTTATTTCTTCAGGTAAACAACACCTTAAGAGATACCTCTCCCATTTACTTAATGTAAAAACCAGTGACTGTGAGAGATCCTTAAAAAAAAAAAAAAAAAAAAAAAAGTCTCATGCTTTCTTCTTATCTTGGGAAGAGACAGGAATCTCCATTAGGAATTATTAGGAATATTCTTGCAGAGGCACTTGGTTTAAAACCTGTGACATTATTTGTGTTACTTAATTTTTTTTTTAAATCTAGTCCATCTTTCTTTTCTTTCTTTCTTTTAAACAAGTAGAACACCGCCCTCTTACCCCCACCAAGCCCCACCACCAAATGGCTTGTACAATTGAGACCTGTCCTTGGTCCTTTGAATTAAGACCCTAACAGAGCCAGCTGTGCTGGGATTCAAACTAATGACCGCAGACACAGAAGGACACTGTGGCAGCTGGTAGTTCTTTTTTCCCCCCTGCCTCTTTAGTTCAGATTGTATGTGGGCAGTCTCTTAGTTCTCAGTTGTATTGTGTTTGCTTACAGTTTATACTCGGCTGTATTGTAGACTTTCTCCGTACTTCATTTGCTAATTTCCTGTTCATTTTCCTCAAAGAGCCATTGCTGTTTTCTACTTTACAGCATTTGCATGCCCAGGCAGCACTTGTTCACACATTTCATAATGTTTAAATGCCCTCTGCTTATAGGTAGTATCGCCCTCCCACCCCTGATTTGCATGTCTTTAGCACTCCAATTGCCCTTTTCCCTCGGCATTTGTCACCCCCGTCTTTCCTCTTTCCTTGGGTATCCAGGCTATTAATACATTTTCTCAGGAGGGTTATAAGAATAGGGGGGAGGAGCTGTGGTGTGCTGGAGGGAGGGAGGGAGCGGGGTTGGGAAGGTGGTGGCGGTGGGGAGGGGGTCATGTCTTGATGATTGTTATGCAAACGACCTGACGAAGAATGTGGGAGCTTTCAGTGTCTGTGGCGGGGTAGTGAGGGGGGCTGTTTATTTATTTTAATCATTTTCCTCGTGCAGCTCGTTGGAATGACTTTCTTTATTTTAGTTGTAACAGTTGGAGGATAATGCAAAGGAAGACGCTGCCTGGGAATTCACCGTCTGTGGAAATGCGCCCCAGAGAGGAATAAAGCAGTCCTCACCTTGCTCTCCCTACCCGGACCCACATTCCCCTCCTGCCTCGGCCCCCACCCCAACACCACCATCACCCCTTTCCCTCCCCCCCACCTTCCCCCCTTTCCCACCCAGGTGTCGGACCAGGCGGTCCCCACTTCCACCCTGCACCCCTTCTTCCCCCCCTGCACCATGAACACCAATGTCTGCGTGGAGCCGGGGCCGAGCCCGGAGGCCCCGGGCTTGCCCAAGGAAAGCCACCTGCCCGAGGGGGCCCTGAACAGCCTTGTGGATTACAACTCGGAGATGGAGCGCTACCGCTCCTTTGCCACCTCCTTCTACAAGACCAACGGGGGCGCCTTCCCGCAGGCAGCCAAGATCGCGCGCATCACCACCCCCATCTTCCCCAGCAGCGCCGCCGCCGCCGCGGCCGCCGCGCGCATCGGCATGTCCCCCTGGAACTGCGACAACGCGGCCACCGCCGCCGCCGCCACCGCCATGCTCTGGGGCAGCGGCGGGGGCGGGGGCGGCGGCGGGGGCGGCGGCGGCGGCGGGGGCGGCGGCGGGGGAGGCGGGGGCGGCAGGAAATCCTCCTCCGCCGCCGCCTCCTCCTCCGCCTCCTCCTCGGCGATCCTCCCCGCCGGCGGTGGCGGTGGTGGTGGTGGCGGCGGCGGCGGCGGCGGCGGCGGCGGCGGTGGCGGCGGCGGCAGCAGGACCAGCATGCACCACCGAAACGACTCCCAGAGGCTGGGGAAAGCTGGCTGCCCGCCAGAGCCGTCGTTGCAAATGGCAAATACTAATTTCCTCTCCACCTTATCCCCTGAACACTGCAGACCTTTGGCGGGGGAATGCATGAACAAGCTCAAATGCGGCGCTGCTGAAGCAGAGATAATGAATCTCCCCGAGCGCGTGGGGACTTTTTCCGCTATCCCGGCTTTAGGGGGCATCTCATTACCTCCAGGGGTCATCGTCATGACAGCCCTTCACTCCCCCGCAGCAGCCTCAGCAGCCGTCACAGACAGTGCGTTTCAAATTGCCAATCTGGCAGACTGCCCGCAGAATCATTCCTCCTCCTCCTCGTCCTCCTCAGGGGGAGCTGGCGGAGCCAACCCGGCCAAGAAGAAGAGGAAAAGGTGTGGGGTCTGCGTGCCCTGCAAGAGGCTCATCAACTGTGGCGTCTGCAGCAGTTGCAGGAACCGCAAAACGGGACACCAGATCTGCAAATTTAGAAAATGTGAAGAGCTAAAGAAAAAACCTGGCACTTCGCTAGAGGTCAGAGGAGATGATTTCTTGTTTCCCAGTCTGCCCCCCTCCCTCCTTACTCCCCTCTCTTCTCCCCTTCAGGGTTACTTGTCTGGCTTCAAGATGCAGTACCCCTTTCCTTAGGCTTCATTCAGGTTGTAAGATACCATTGTAGGTGGTGTGAGGAGGGCACGGCCTCTCCACCACCCTCCCTAGCAGCACTTCCTGTGGAACCGCCCTCCAGATGGGGAGGGCGCCCCTCCTTTTTATCTCTGGGGGAAAACTAATGTAATTGGTTTGAAAATCAGAAGTTTCACATTCAATATGGTAAAAAAAAAAAAAATGTCCCTGGGTGTTTGAAATGCCCCCTCCCCCATATGAGTATTTTTTAAAGCATCTCTGCCCAAAGAATTATACACATCACATTCTATATACTTTTATTGGCTAAGAGAGGCTTACTAGGGGCCCAGTTTTAACAGTGAGGACACAATTTCTGGCACACAAGCCTATGTGCCCATTAAAACACACAGACACACTGATCACTGAAACTGAAATACATAGATTCTAAAGGGGATTTTCTACACACTTCTAGAATAGTTTATCTCTTCGCCATGATAAAACATTTGTTTCCCTTTTTATTTTCTGCATATCTGGTATTTTTTGAGAAAGCAGAAATAGTATAGAAAGCTGAACACCACCTGCAGATTTTAAGCGGATGTTGACTTAGACTAAAGGGACACAATTAGTTCATGTAATGCAGGTGATCATAATTTTATTTAAGAATTGTTTTACATAGTTTCAGAAACGAATACTCAGTTACCAAAAAATAGGTGCTTTGGGCTCTGCATTGGAAAAAAGTAACCATTTTGTGCTTACAAAATTGTTTTATACACCAAGCACAGTTTTGGTTGATACCCTATATGGCCAATAATAGTTTCCTTTTCCTATATGTCCTTAAAAGAGAAGATGTATCGATTATCCCTAAAGTAATTGTTAAATTAGGCATTTAATTATGTTAAATACAAAGACTGATATGTTAGGTGGAAATTTCATATGGTAACTTGATCAAAACAAAAAGGAGAAAGCAGAAAACCACAAGTAAATGGTTTTGGTGGCATTTTTAGCAAAGAAATATGGACAAATCATCATAATTAACTTCTTGATAAATTTCACAGAGTAGATGGCTAGATGCTCATATGTACATTAGACCATAGGTGGTGGATTAAGCATTTGGGAATATTATGTGGGATGATTTTAGGGTGACAGTGGTTTTCACAAGTTATCAGAGGGGTACCTGCACATTGTTTTTTAAAAAATTGTGGACACTGCTTAAAGGAGTTTCCTCCACCAAGGACTGGTCTTTAAAACAATAGAAGAAGAGTTGGAGATCTTTGTTGTGGGTTTGAACGCAACCGAGATACAGATTTTTTAACAGACGATTTGTTAATATAAATTAAAACAAAACAGTTTGGGATTCCAAAAATGATCAGTTTATATTGACAGCATTATTGATTGTGATCAGTTCCATCAAAATATTATATTTATTTTATTATATTTATATTTATTCCTCTTCAATCTCTTTGTTGAAACTTTGCTTTACCCCAAAGTGGTTTATTACATTTCCTTGGGCAACTCTGCTTAAGCAAAGATAATAGCAATTATAAAAATGCAGGCCCATGTCTTTTCTTAGGTGGCGAAAATTAGCTTTTAGCTTCTCAATTTTCTTTTCTGGATCCATTCATTGTAACTTCTCTAGGTCTCTGAGGCCCATGGGAAATGAAAATTCAGTTCTTCCTGAAATTTCGTTATAACTCAGTTGATAAGTATTACATGGCTTTTATTTTTCCTCTTGGATTATGGATATAGTATCTAGAATTACAGATTTGATGTTGCCAGTGGGCCTCGTCTTTAGACCATGACACTGTCTGCATACCAACGTGGGACATGTAGTTGATAGGACCACTGAATAATTGTGATTTATTTAGTAAATAACCACTCAAGTAGCTAAATGTGAGTGCCAGTAAGTTTTCTGTAAAAGTTTCTATGTTGATTTATCAGTCTAAACAAATTTCATAAATGTCCTTTTTCTTCCTTTTGGTAGTTTTCCCACAAACTTGTGATGCCTCAGGCATTTCCATCACATATGATTCCATAATATTGCATTTTCTTTCTTTTTAAAATCCATGTGCTGAAAAGTTCTGTTGCTCTTCAGAAGGTGGTGTGTGAATGGGAGGGGAAACAAGTGTCTCTCTTTGTAGTACTCTCTGAAGGTGTTTTCCTAACGGCATACTCTCCCCACTAGAGGATGAGTCATGGTTCAAGGCTAAGTTTATTAGTAGAATACTGTTTGCCAAAAAGAAGGAAAAACAGATTGTGAGGATTTTGGTTTATTTGTTTAATTGACTAAGATTCTGTCTAGGTCATTAATAAAAGGCAACTGTGGCATGATTACCTTCAGCACATGTATAACCACACAGTTAGGGTTCTAGGAAACCAGCTGGTGGCATGTCAGAGTGGCAGGGTTTACATGACTGAACCCAAGCTGTAGCAGTGGTTGTGGGTTGGTGAAAAGTCCTCCTGCTGGCCTGCTTCCCTCCCCAATTTGGTCCCTGTACATTCTCATCATCTGTGGAGATGTTTTAGAGATTGGATAGACACCCTAACTGAGGATAGTGATTTGGGGATTTATTATGGATATTTATTTTCTGTGGATTTCAGGAATAAGTTCAGTAGCTAGTATTTGTTGGCTTTAAATTATGGACACTAATTGATATCTGGATCATAATCATACTTATATTCATATTTATTCCTTCAAACCCCCTGTGCCCTTCTTGTCTTTGACTTATGCTCATCCCAAATATTGGAGGCATAATCTGATTTTCAGGGTGAGTACACTGAAATTAAGGTACACTCACATGGTTTTCCTGGGATTCTTACCCACATGTTTTAAAGTCTTCCACCTAGCATTCCTTTTAAAGCTGCTTTTCTTATTTCCACATGTTCTGCTTAGTCTCATGTAAGAGCATCTTAATGTCTCAGAAATATGTCTATTAAACCACCTCCTTAATATATTTTTTATGATAACAATACACACAAAACTAATTTAGTTTTTCTATGGTACTGTGCACTGTGTATTTGCATATAACACTGTTCAGTTAATCAGTTACTATATCTACAAATCATCCATCATTAATTATTCAAAGAAGTTATTACAAATGTTATATGCCCCTTATATGACAAAAATTACCTTAAAAACTTGTATCCTAAATGATCCATATACTCAGATATTTTAAGAAGTGTGATTATATATTATAAATTATAGAATAGCACTTTGTCTCATACAAAGGTAATCTTTCAGTTTTTATATTCACAGCAGTTCTATTTCTGATACTAAGATCTAACTTTTTAAAACATCCCAACCTGCTATGTATAGCTCAAGGGATAAAATTGTCCTGTGGGCAACCTCAGCCTCTTAGGCCCTGAACATTGTTCAGGTGACATGATTGATCTCTGTGGGACAGCATTAGAGACCACACAGATCTGGTTTCTCTCCCATTAGCTGATTTATGGAATTACATTAGTAAGCAGAGCCTCAGGAGATTTCCCTGCCCCCACTCTCAGCTCTCCACTGCGAGTTACACACTGCCACTACCCAGGCTGTTCTTGTGTTGGTGTAGGGACTTGAAAGGGACACATCAGAAAGAAGAGACTGAGAAACTGGAAAGTCAGGAATAAGGACAATTCCATTGTCTTTCTTTTCTCTCTTTAAAATGTATCTGCTGAATGTGCAGGCCAACAATAATTTTTCATGAGTTAGGTTGAACTTCTAAGGGGTTTGGTGGAAAATATCCAGATGTTTCCCCAAACTAAGAGTGTTTTAGGGGAGGAGGGACACATGTCATATATATATGTATATGCTGTTAAGTTGTAAGAGCCTCAACCACATGAATAACAACTGAAAAATTCTGCACAAAGCAGTGTCTGCAGTTTCTGCAGGAAGATGGCACCTGCTTCCTGACGAAATTCATCGGATGATCATAGGGAAACAGGTGTGTCACTCAAACGCAGAGTCTGTAGTTAAATAATAAAACAGTCAATAATTAAATGTAAGTTTTTGAAGTCTGGTGACTGAAAACATTTTTAAGTGAAATACAGATGTTTTATATTTTAAATGGAAACATCTAGTCATTTGTCATTTTAGATCATAATTTAAAAATGAGTTTTTAATTTTTATTTTTAAAAGTCAGAAATATGCCAGTATAAAACTATAAATGTGTGCTTTAATCTCAAAATACAAATATGTAGCTATCAAAGGGAAAGAGGAAACTTTTCAATACATTTAAACAAAATAATAGTAGATAGCCCAGGCAGTGTGGCTCAGCGGATTAGCATTGTCCAGTGGACTGGGAGGTTCCAGGTGTATTCCCAGTCAGGGCACGTGCCACGGTTTCTGGCTCGATCTTCAGGGGCGAGCAGGAGGCAGCTGACGGGTGTTTCTCTCTCAGCCATGTTTCTCTCTCTCCCTTCCTCTCTCTCTAAAAAAATAAAAAAAAATAAAAAATAAAAAACTTAAAAAAAAATATTAAAAAACAACAAAAAAAACAATAGTATATTAACACTAGAATGTAATAAAGAAATGATATAGGAAAAAGACACTGAATTTCATAAAGGATAAGAAAATAGCACAGAAAAGTTTAGCTTTGACTAAAGTCATAAAATAGATTTATTTGTAGCCAAGGTATCAGACTGTAATACAAGTTCAATGAAATTCTCTTCCTATCACCAGATACAATATTAGGTAGTCAAAGTTGTTTTCAAAAGAACCATACATTTTTGATAATTTCTAAATGAGAATAATACCCCCACCTATCCAAATATCATGTAAATTATAAGCAACCTTTGGAATGGCAATTAGGAATAGTAAAATGCAATTTAAAATCCATTTGTAGTCCTGGCCAGTTTGGCTCAGCGGTTAGAGCGTTGGCCTGTAGTCCAGAGAGACCCGGGTTCGGTTCCTGTAAGGGCACGTA